GGGACAAGTGATTCAGACCCTGGATCTGTGTTAGAGCCAGACGGGAGTGGCTGGCTCAGCAAGACAGGGTGCTGGAGTCCTGAGCTGGCAGGGAAAACAGAAGCAGGGGTAGTCTTTGCACATCTGTTGGCAGCTCCCAAGGGGGTTTCTGTGATCCAACCCGTCACAACAATGATTAAACAGAATTAGCCATTTTGGAACTTTATATCACTGCAAAGACACAAAGAGAAAGAAAAAGAAAGTTCTAGGGATAGAAATGATCAAACAATAAGTTTTCTAAATTGGAGAAATTAAAGACTCAAGAAGAGATACGCACTGTTTAGTCTGCTCTTCTGAAGGACAGAGGAGGTTTAGTCTTTCTACAGAGGAGTTGCCTATATTTAGAGTTAAACAGAAAAGAAGAAAGCATTTGGGTCTTAAATCAAGAATTCTTGACTAAGAGCTCATCTTCACTGCTGCGGCAGTGCTTTAACATGGTTTGTGTAGTCGCGGCATCAGCACTGGGAGAGAGCTCTCCCAGCGCTCTAAAAAACCCACCTCCACGAGGGGCATAGCTACCAGCACTTAGAGCGCAGCTCCCAGCTCTGGTGCACTGTCTATACTGGCACGTTACAGCGCTGAAACTTGGAGTGCTCAGGGGGGTGTTTTTTCACACCCCTGAGTGAGAAAGTTGCTGCCCTGTAAAGTGCCAGTGTAGACAAGCCCTAAGGTAAAGGCTTTACTTAGGGCTAAATTATGCCCTCCAAGGCTCAACTGCCATTGACTTCAAAAGATTAAAATCTGGCCTTTAATTTGACAAATTAGGTCACATTTCTACTGCTCTTTGAAAATGTAAATTGCTGTACAAATGCTAAGTGTTCTTATGCAATAGACTCTTCAGCAAGCAAATCACCTTTGACTTATTTTTTCTCCTTGAGATGCAATTTCATCCCAGCCCAATGTGTTTCTCAGTTACATTTTTTTAATCCTCATCTCCAATAACTACATTTTTTACCATTGTGTGTATGTACCAAACCCTACTGTGTGACCAGATCCTCTAAATAAAATCTGCCTAGAGACAGTAAAAGTAGTAACCTTAGCCCCCTCACTAAAAGTAGATCTTTGACACTTGTGTGAGTATATATACTGCTCTACATGTGAACAAACCCTTCTCTGTAAAGAAGTTACCATGCATGAGCACAGTAGCCACTTTTCCCACAAAGTACTCATGTGCCTTTTTTAAAAAGGGTTAAAAGATTAAATAGAAAGGGAGGACAATACAGTACTTTAAATATTTTTTATTTGTTTTAAACATTAGCCACATTATTTATAGTCTGAAACCACTCGGTTTAAGTTGTTTGAAGGCGTGGAAAGGAAAGAAAGTGTTTGCAGACCCCTAGGTTTTAATTTGGACAGATTCAATAAAAGCAGTCACTCTCGTTTGGAAAGCTGGTACAGCTCCAAGACGGAATGAATTTTTACAGCTGTGTTATTATTAACCCCTAAGGCTCCAATCCTGCAATTGGCTCTGCTCACGGTCAGAGGGATCAAAGACAGCTGAGAGATCTAAGAGAATCAGCCTGGACATTTGATTTTCCACCATCATTACCCAGCACCACCCAGCTTATGCAGGGACAGCTGGCACATTGTGAAGCAAATCACTGAAAGTTAGAGCTGGCAAAAAAATGTCCATCAAAACTGTTTTCCACCAGAAAAATGGGGGGTTGATAAAAAATTCCTACTGAAAGTGGCGGCTTTCTGTCGAAAATTTAGATTTTCTTGTTGAAAAAACTGAGCACCCAAAAACCAAAATATTTCATCCAAACACAGAAATATTTTGATTTGCAAATGCTGCAGTGTAGTTCAGTTGCCCCATATTCCAATTCTCTTCTATGGGCTGGGCTCCCTGGCCAGACTACATCTCCCGTGATGCACCATGGTCAGTACTTCCATGATGCACTGCCTCCACTCTCCAAGAAGGGGATCATGGTGAACAGCTCATAGAGAACAGTAGCTTGAGGCACACAGACTACTGCTCCCATGAAGTACTGTGACAGCATTTCTAAATCAAAATATTTCAGTTTTGGCCAAAGTTTTTGAGTATTAAAATTTGCATCAAAAAAAAGTCCATGGAAAATTTAGACTCTTTTTTTTTTTTTTCCCAATGTTTTCCAGGTCTGAGGAGACATTTTTAAATGAGCTCTGACAAAAATCTCCAGCAGCAAGTCTAATGTGTTCTTGCTGGCTTTTACCATATAGGAAGGATATGGGTTCAGCTCCCAGGTTATTTTACCTCTGTATTTGGCAGCAGTGCAATCGCTGTGACAAATTGGAGAGGGTTCAGAGATAATGAACAAAGAATTAGAAAACACACGTAATAGTGATAGACTAACGGAACTCAGTCTATTTAGCTTAACAAAGAGAAGATTAAGGGGTCACTTGATTACAGTCCATAACTACCTCCATGGGGAGCAAATATTTAATAATGGACTCTTCAATCTAACAGAAAAAGGTATCACATGATCCAATGGCTAGAAGTTGAAGCTAGACAAATTCAGACTGGAAATAAGGTATACATTTTAAAAAGTGAGAGTAATTAACCATTGAAACAACTTACCAAAGGTCCTGGTGGATTCTCCATCACTGACAATTTTTAAATCATGATTGGATGTTTTTCTAAAAGATATTGTCATGCAGCAGGTCAGACTAGATGATCACAATGGTCCCTTCTGGCCTTGGAATCTATGAATCTAGAAGTTATGTTTAAATATAGCAAATACAATTTCTTGACACTGAATTTAGATCTAAAGCCCACACAGGCTGGATCTTGGTGACTTATCCAAAAAGTAACATGAAAATTCTTCACAGCAAGAAAAACTCTACTCAGTAAGCAAGAGAAGACAGCCCAGATTCACCATGCTATTCATTACCTGGAACAGTTTCACTTTCTAGGACTTTGCAGATGCTATGATGAAGGTGAAAGTTGGTGCCTCTTACTAACATACCACACTGAAAATGTATATTTAAAATGTACAGTATTTCTCACCTAGCTTTTTATATCTATACATTTAGGGCCAAATTCTGATACTCTTATTCAGGCTGAATAGTGCCAGATTTTAATAAGATTACTAATAGACTACAGTATTATTCAGCCTAAGAAAAGGTATCAGAATTTGGCCTTTAGGCTTTTTCTTTTTTAAATGAAAACAACCACACTATTTTTATTTGTACAAATCCCCCTGTCAGATTGAAGCAAAGTTTACACAAATCTTGCTTCCTCTGCTATTTCTAATGAATTTTTCATATTACAGTTTGATGTCAAATTCATCTGTTTTGTCAAAAATTTAGTTAAAAACCTCTCATATAATTGCACTTTGAACGCGTCTCTCACTCAAACAAAATGTTTGCTGTTAGATTAGGATTTTTGGGCCACAAACCCAGCAACATGAAGGGCCTTGAACTGGCCTTCATTCTGCTATCAGTGCTATCAGGACAGCTTCATACTGCTTCCAGAATGTTTTGAGAACACTGTACACAGAGGGATTGCCAATGGACTATTTACAGAATGCTATAATAAAAAAAACAAAAAATCAAGGTTCTCCTCAGGTCTTTCTCTTCAAGACTTTCCACAGCCGCAGTCAATGTACGTTAGTTCTTAGTGTGTATTGTTAAACTAAAGGTCATCTTTGAGCTGTGCCATGTGAGTTTCACAAAATTGCTGCCTCTTGATCTCTGCATGAGGTGGAGTTTTCAGAAGAAACTGTTAAGATGTTTTGGACTTATAAATTCCAGCTAAACATGCAAATGAAGGACTGTTCAAGAAACAATCTTTGATTTACCATCAAGGATCTACTTCTAGGATAAATTCCGGTTTTCAGGAGAGGCACAGCAAACGTATGCCCACTACCCCAAAGAAGGAACGTGTTACCTGGCATCAAGGATCATATCTCAATGGACAGAAAGAAAAAGACTGAAAGTCTACTGCCCAGAGCAGGATTTCAGCCATAGATCAACCAAAATGCTGACGTCTAAACTATATAAATTACTCACATCCTACCATATAAGGGGTTCCTATTGGAAGTTTGTTATCTGTTTGAAGGACAACTTCTTAAATTGATCAAAGAAAGATTTCTCTTTCTAATTACCTGAGAAACATTCTAACAGGAGTTTGTTAAATACAGTCTCCAGAGAAACAGCTGTGTTACCTGTCGTTTTATGGTACGATGCAACACTGTCTACACCCCTGCCTGCCTTTAGCAATGAAACTGATGTGAGCTTGATTTGAATAAGGGAATGCTACTCATTCAGTTGATCACTGATTTTTTTCTTTCTTGAATTTCTTTGTATTATAATAATTTTTTTTAAGTTCAGTCAACTTTGTTCAGATGAGATTCTCATCCACATATATGCTGACCTCATAACTAGAACCAATACTGATTATTCACATGCCAATGCATATCATACAAAATATTACATTTCCCCTCATTGATATCACACTGACATTATACAACACATAAATGCTGATTTGCCTAAATCCCAATCCCTTATCTACCCCACTCTACTCCCATTCAGAAGGCAGGATTGGATATTTCCTCAAGAAGGGTGGAGACTGAAAGACAGAGACATAGTATCCAGTACCTTGACCAAAATTTTGGCTCATAATTCTTTTTGGTAGTGTGGGAGCACTACTGAATCCATATTTATCTCTGTGGTCCAGAATAAACTGCAGAAAATGGCTCTGAATATACCTGGCTTGGTAGCTTTGATTGTGTTTTATGCAATAACTTTAGCCATTGGAATTTGGGCTTCTTGGAAAAGCAAAAAGTACCAGAAGAAAGGGAAACCAAGTGAGATGATCATAGTGGGGGGCAGGAACATGAATTTTTTCATTGGATTATTCACTGCGACGGGTAAGTGTTCTTAAAGGAAATTCTTTTATCTTATTAAAATATTCAGGTTGAGTTTCTCATTCACAACATAAATTTGCTCTTTTAAGTCTGGGATATGGAATTAAAGTTTTATTAGCATTATGGGCTAGATTGTGCCAGCCCTACTCACACTGAGTAGTCCCTAATGTCTTGAGTAGTCTCACTTAAATTAGTGGGACTCCCTGAGGAATATGATACTACTCAAGAAGATAGAATGTGGTTCTAATTTAGGGCCAGATTCTGCTACCTTCACTCATGTTGAATACCTTACTTGTTATGTGGGATACGGTGCCACTCATCATGAGTAAGTCTATCAAAATCTGCCTGTAAAGAAGGATGCATATATAGTTCTTTGAGGCATTTACATACTATGCTTCTGACGCCTCTTCTATTTCTTCTGTGTTTTCCCATTGTCAGAAATTTGTCCCTCTTACCTGTCATTAGGGGAATGCGGTCCCAAGTGACATTTGTCTGGCCAACAGATTTGCTTGGTTTAAATCTAAGCTGAAGATTCGCTTTTTTGAATGCAATATGTGCTTGACTGTTGTTTTAAGGGATTTATTTTCTTAAGCACACATTTACAATTGTAAAGGACCATGATACATGGGAATTATGTTCTATAAATCATTAAGGAACAATAAATGTAACGCTATTTGCTCTTGCTATCTGCTCCAGCCAGTGTCTACCATTAACAAAAACAGAAATAAAAATAAACCTACTCAAATTGCCTAGAAATATTCTGAACATTAATGAGTTTTCCATGCAAATGTGGCTATTCACTTTTGAATATCGCCTCTCCAGAATTTTACTCAGGCCAAGTCTACACTGCACTGTTTTCTCAGCATAGCTATGTCAGACAGGGGTGTAAAAAACCCTCATCCCCCAGCCATCACAGCTATGCTGGCAAAACTCTCGGAATAGATTCAGCTATGCTGACACCAGAGTGCTTCTGTTGTCATCCAGGAAGGTGATGTTACTATTCTGGCAGAAAAAAATGACTGTCAGCCTACGCTGCATCCCCTCTAGGGGCTTTTGCCAGTATAAATGTACCGGTATAGCTGTATCCACAGAACCTGTGTAGTGTAAACTAGCCTTTAGGGTCAGATTCTGATCATCCTATCCACATTGCATAGTACTTTATTCCAGAAATAGGCCATTGGAGTAAATGTGAGTGTGAGTAAACACTGACCAGTGTGAATAGAGGTTCACAGTCTGGCCCTGTATTTTTCAACATGTTTTATGAGAGTGGTAAGGCAATATATGTCTCATCGCTATTTCTCCTGCCCCCCCCTTTTTTTTCAGCAACATGGGTCGGAGGAGCATATATCAATGGTACAGCTGAAACTGTCTATCTTCCCACAAGAGGACTAGTGTGGGTCCAGGCACCAATAGGATTTGCTTTGTCCCTTGTCATTGGTAAAAAAAAAAAGCATGTTATAAATCTTTTTTTTTTAATCCAGTGTTATGGATCTAAAAATTTCAGCCTCTCCCAGTGTTGACCGAGTCTTTTCCCTGCTACCCAGAACACACAGGTTCACAGAGAGGCTCTTGAGCTGAAGAAGTATGTCGTTTATTTGCTGATTCAGTGAGTGATCAGTGCACCGGAACAGGGCACAGCATAGGGTTAAATGCAAGCGCATACCCATATTCAGGTGCCCACCTTAAATACATAGTTACAAAATCAGTCATTATAGATATAAACACTTTTCTGCCTAACACTAAGATTAGTTTGCTAACTCAGTTGTTTACCTGATCAGGTTGTTGACCAAGATGTTCCCCTGATTGAATCGCTGACCAGTTGTTCATCTGATTGACGTGCTGGGTCAGCTTTTCACCTGGCTGTTCTACCTCCCTGCCAGACAAGCAGGCAGCTTTTCACATGTCCCAACTCCTACAATATACATTCGACACATTACATATTCTACACTCAGGTAACTGTCAAATACTCAGGGCTGTTTAAATTATTCTGAATGAAGTGTCAGATAGTGGACATCCAAAAAGTGATATAATTGGCCTTTATTGGACTATTCTGCATACATACAACAGATTCAGGATGAGAATTCAAGGGATTAATAATTGCAGGATCCGGGCCTAAAATGCAGAAATCAATGGGGCTCTGTGCAATTGCAGAGATTCATCTGCATGAGACAATCTACAGCAAAATAATCTTACTTGTGTGTTTTGCTTGCATGTGATATTCTGTTAATAGTGTTTTTCTCCAATATCCTTTTGGCAGTAGGAACATCAGGCCCTCAACAAAATGTAATTCTTTCTTTGAAATGTTTGTGGAGCTAAAAAGTATCACCATGATTTCCCCACCAAAATACATTCTCCTAACACCTTTAATCTCAATGCATGTTTGTTATAGAAGACCTGGCAAAGTCCCTTAGTGGACAGTCACCAGTCAGCTGTAATTGTACCTATTTTGGAGCCCATGTGCTTCCAAGCCAGCTGGATCTGGTCAGCATCCAGTCACTGCTTCTAACTGGGCCTCTCAGGGTATGTCTACACAGCAATGCAAGCCTAAGATTAATGGGACTCAAGTTGACCTGACTCAACCTTGGGATTGAGCTTTTACAATGCATTTTAACCCCAGGTTAAGGATTTTCTGACCCCTAGTGCGCACACTTGTAACACTGACAGATCCTGGTTGGCCCTTATGGCCCTTAGCTAAGGCTGTAGAGCTGATTCATTAATCTAAGTGGTCTCGGTGCCACTAGCTGGGACAGAACACCACACCCAGGAGGTGTGTGGGTTTCACACACACACACACACACACACACACACACACACGCGCGCCAGTGTCGACACTCTAGGCTTAGTAATGTGTTGCACTGTGAGAAAACTCTACTGCCCATGCTGTTTCCTAACTGTGGAAACAGAGTTATTGACCGGACTCAGGTGCCCATAAGGATCACATGAGTACATAAGCTGCATAATTAGCTCCTTTGGTGGCTGTCTCAATAGAATGACTGGGGATTGAGAAGGCTTTACACTGAGCTACCATCTAACCAGACAACTAGGCTGTCCACCTCTAGGCTGAGTCACTTTGGCAGGAAAATGCCCATGTGCAGCTATTCTGAGGAGAATTAGCACATCAGGCTCCCGGGCTGTCAAACTATGAAAGTGAAACTTTGCAATTCTTAATTTCTAAAATGGGATGTTCAGTGCAGGTGTTTTTGTTTGGCTGTTTTTTTATTTACCTTTGTCTGTTTTTTCGAAGTTTGACATAAAAGGCGGGTTTCAGAGGAAAAACACTCCAGCCCAGCTGGCAGCAGAGCAGTGAAGTGCATCCCCAGGGCTTGGGGTACCGTGTGCTCGAGCACCTCTCAGGATCCCTTATCCCTGCCCTGACACACCCTGGGAGGCAGGGATAAGAGATCCCTGGGAGGCTGTGGGGAAGTTTTGGGGCTGGCTCCCACTTACTGCCCTGACAGCACACACTGCCTGCGCACTCTGCACATGCAGCCCCAGAGGGGCCAGAGAGAGGAGACCAAGCAGCAGCCCTGCAGGAAGTGGGAGCAGTCAGGGTAATGGGGGTCATCTGTCCCTGGGCCATGCTGAGCTGGGAGCTCCGCTCTCCCCTCTCCCTGCAGGGCAGTCACTTGATCCTTGCTCTACTCTCGAGGGCCCCCGCCTTCCCTAGGGTTGCATGTTCAGTAGACAATGGGTTACCCGCTGATTCGACCTGCTGCCATTTGCAAAGGGAGGTGCAGCTTCCATTTGCAATAGAGTGCAACAGATGACATCACAGATTGTCGGCATAGAGAAGACTAAGGAAGTTGCCCCAAGGAACTCTGGGATACAGCCGGAGGACTTCCAGGACCCAAATCAGGCTGGGACCCCATGCACATAGGAAAGCAATAGGGCTCGAACCCCAGGTCCCAGTGCTAGCTTAACATGGGCTCCGACCCTCCAGCCCTGCAGGATCCTGGGATCCTAGGTCCGAGCCCTAGGTTAGCACAATTGGTGTGTGGACACAAGGGGAGTTAGATTTGAGCCCAGGATCAAGCCTAGGCTTATACTGAGGGGTAGACATACCCTAAGGCCCACTACTGGGTGCAGACCTCTTGTCTGGCCCCCACTCTATGTGCTCTGGATTGTAATTTAACTCTTTGGGGACACATGGCAGGTAAAGTAAGGAACACAGGCTTGGCTTTGGAGTTTTTAAAATCACAGTAACCTTTGCTGTCAAAGCATACAAGAGTTACAGATCTCTAGGAAAACAACAGGCGCCTGAATGCTCTTTTCCCTGTGTCTATGCTCATCCCTTTTTGTGAGTCCTTAGGCCTAGTCCATGTGTCCAGCAGTTAGGCCCCGTGGGCCCTTTACCTTCTGCAGTATCAGTTGTCCAGCAAGAGAGTGAGAACCAAGAGCAGATCTTGCCTTTAAATAAGGTTTCAGTCCCCTTTGTCATGCTATCTACTGACCAGCTTCATCATCTCAGTCAGGTGGTTGAAGTCCTACTCCCCTGGGAGACAAACTGGGAGAACCAGTTTCCTTTAGCCTGGCCACTGGTTTCAGCAAATCCATTGTTCTGACAAACACCATTGATGACTCTTGTGTTAGTTGCTTCAGGGGGGCTCCCTGGATTACAATAAGCTGCCTTGGTCTGTCTTTGGCATCTCTAGGCAGGCACAACTACACACTCCAATGCAAGTCACATTCTTCAAAATGGCAGTTACAATGTCAAGGGCAGGTCACAATTAGATACAGCCATACACCAGCCCATCACATAAAGCTGGGGTAATGGGTGTGCAACAGTGCCATTTGTGGGCAGTTTCCCCCAGAAGTGTGTAGTAGGAATTTAGCAGAATCCTACAAGTAGAGACAAGGAAGAGCTGCTCTTACACTGGGAAATATCTGCCCCCTAGGAGCATGAGCCAAAGCCCATTGAAATCAATGGAAAGATGCCCATTGACTTCCATTTCAGTCAGGCCCTAAAGCAGTAGCCTCTGGGCACGGCAACCCTTTCTCATGTGAGTAATCCTTACCAACACAAGAAGCCCCATTCAGAGACTGCAGGTCCAGTCCAGCACCCCTTCCTCATGTCAGTAATCCCCAGACAAGCAGTCCTGTAGGCATCAGGATTTGGCACTACATACATTCATCAATTGTAATGGGACTACTTGTTTGAGTTAGGAGTGCTGATATGAGGAAGGAGTGTAGGACTGGGCTCAGTTCATGAGATGCTGACATTAAAAACAAGATAATTTAATTTTGGAGGAGGCATAGGGGAGCTGCAGGTTTCATTGTATGTAACTGAGGGCAGCATTTATCTCAGTACATTGCATGGCATCTAGCATTCACAAAATCAAGGACAAAGCTATTGCCTTCTATTGACCAAAGCGGGTAGCATAGGCAGGGGAAGGCTGTGCCTCCCCAAACAGCCTGGCATGGCCCTGCCCAGGCTTCGCCCGGAAAGCCCCCTCCTGCTTGCCCTCATCCTTCTCCCTTAACCCCAGCCCAGCTGGTCACTCGTCTTCAGGGAAGCATTCTGGGGCTGGAGCTGGGGCTAGGGTGGCTGTGGCCGGGACTTGGGGTGGTTGGGGCCACCCAGCACTGAGGGGCCCCCAGGCACTTAGGCCGCGCCGCCCGGTGCTGGGGAGGAAGGATGCCAGAGCTGGGACTGTCCACCCTGTGCTTGGGGGCGCTCAGGGGCTGGGGGGAGGGGCTGGCGGCCATGGGGAGGGGGGCGCTCTGGGATCCAGCAGGGCCTCGGGCAGGGGCTAGCCTCCCTGAGCCAGCGGGTCACCCACCACCCACCACCCATGCCAAAGCGCATTTTTTTCAGATAATGTAAGCCCCTTTACAGTGAAAACTCTTTAGGGCCTGGCATTGCCTGAAGGAGATGGTTATTGATGAGAAATGCACTTTAAAAAGCTTGGTAAATGTGGATATTTAATGAATTGTGGAGGTGATCAGCTGACGGACATTTTAATGGGGAACATTAGCAAGTTATTGCAATGTGACCTGTGAACATTGACTAATGCTGGCTTTAATACAGATGTCATTTAGAACAAGAGGACAGTTCTGACAATTTCTTAGGAGATTGTATAAAATTCAATGACAATATTATCATTTTTGATAGGTGGCCTCTTCTTTGTAAATCCAATGAGATCCAAAAATTATGTGACAATGATGGATCCTCTCCAAGAAACATACGGGAACATGATTGGAAGCCTTCTCTTTATTCCACCATTAATAGGAGATATATTCTGGTTTGCAGCTACTCTTGCTTCATTAGGTAAATATATTTGCTCTGCTGTTGTATTTGATAGAAAGACGATGTAGCAAAACACAGAGGACAAGGGAAAGCCAGCCATGGATAGCTCTGCTTTACACCACCTTTTGCGGATTATGTGTTCATCGCTCATTCGTGAAAATATATTGTTTATTCCCTTTCCTAATGTTTCTTGTGCATGTTTAAAGTAAAACTGATGGAAATATAAAATTCACATTTCCATAGTACTAGGTAATGCTGTGTATTTATTTATTATCATCCTGATATTATAAATGGGGACTGAAGTGCAGAGAGCGGAAGTGACTTGGCCAAGGTCACAAAGTTAGTTGGTGGCAGCACAAGAAATAAAACTCCGGAATCCTTGGCTTCTAGCCAGGTACATAACCACTAGATTGCATTGCCATTGGTATCATTTAACCACTTATTTGTATAATAAGAAACTTGCACATATAAAACCTGTAATGATTGTTCAAAACTGTCTTTGTCTGCAGGGGCAACAATGAGGGTCATTTTGGATATCAGAGGCTATTTGGCCATCATCATATCGGCATGCACTGTTATATTCTACACTTTACTGGGAGGACTGTACTCAGTTGCATACACCGATGTGATACAGCTGATTTTTATTGTGCTCAGCCTGGTAAGTTCAATGCATTTCTGGGTTTTCAGTTTTCTCAATATTGAACAAGTAAAGATGAGACACAAAATTCCTCTCGCATTTTCACCGGTCTCAGTCCAAAGTAGGTCCATTGACACTGGTCTCAGACCCCAAAGCTCAACTTTAGGTGTAAAAACAAAAAAGGCCCCAGGACTACATTAAGCCAGTTTTCCAACTCTTACTTGGGTTGAGTAGCACTTACTCATGGGTGCAGTCTACTGTCTATTCACATGAGTAAATGCTAATCCATTTGAGTAAAGATTGCAGAATTTAGCCCATAATTATCTTGGTTGGAAATAAACAAAACTCAATAAGACGACTAGCTAAAAACACCAATTAATTTAAATAAAGCAACCATGCTCTTAACTACATGATGCAAGACACGAGACGTAATTCTTCCAGTCTACTCTGCATT